TGTTGATATTGATTTCCGTAAAATTTCCGTCAACAATCTCCGAGCTTATGCAAAAAGCTTTACTGACGCTGTCGCCCTGGTCCAGCAAACTAGATAAGGTACAAAAAGCCGTCTCGATTCTGATAACAGGAAGCAGGCCTCTGGGCCTCAGCATAAATGTTAGTGCCCTATGGCTGCATGAACAAAATCTTTTTCGAAGTTGTACCTTTGGGCATGGTTGTATCTTGAACCAACCAGGTATTACATTGGACCAACGCGTAAAACAAAGCGAATATATATCACCTTTCCTGAGAGTTGACGATGTAGATGTCTTTATTCCTAGTAGAGACGACTGGAACCGGAGTAACTCTCCTCTGGGCGGTCGGGCTTTCTATAGAGAGGGATCCAAGATAGAAGAAGTTACAAGGGCTGGCATCTATTGTGAAAAGCCAGGCATTGACCTTGCCTACAAGCTGCATAGTAACTGGAGTGTTTTCCCAGCTGAAATCTTCGCTATTTGGAAGGCAGCGGATTTGATAAAAAGTCTGGATGCAGAGATCGTTGAACCGGTGACTAACTTTGTGGATATTCAGGCAGCTTTTAAAGCCATCAAATCAAAACTGTGGTAGTCCTCAAGTGTAGAGCAGTTTTGGAAGAACTTATTTAGAGCTATCGGCTATGTTTGGTACCAGGACACCGTGACATCATGGGTAATGAAAGAGCAGACGAATTAGCTAGACGAGGATCTCAATCTAAAGATCTAAAAATTGATGCCTCAATCAAACCACCCATATGTCATCTTTATGGGAAGTTTGAGGCGTTCTTCGACGAAAGAACCTATGAACTTTGACACAACGAACCTAGGTGCAAGATCTATTTGGTCGACTCTGTCAACCAAGAGGACAAAATCACTGTTGAACCTGGAGAAATGAAAAGAGTCATTACTGGCAATTGTAATATCAAGGCCTTTACCAGTAAATGGGGCCAATGATACTACTGATTACTGTAGACTCTGCGTTGACGAGGAGGAGACGGAGACAATTGAGCATCTACTGTGTCGCTGCCTAGTCCTGGCCTACAGACGGCACAGACTAGTGTGTGCTCACTTTCCACCGAATCTTAGTTTCTTCTCAACAACGGAACCGGATCTAATCTACAGCATCATTAGAAACCTAAAGTGGTTGGGAAAGTGCAACCTTGACACGTAATATATCTCATACTTACCTTTTCACACTTTCTTGTAAGCTTCTCATCTTTCTCTCCCTGTTTTTGGGCCCAGTTACTTTTGAGGCATTTTTTCCTAATGAGAGCTTTTAAGTTCCTTCCAATGAAATATCTTATCCATAGACCTATTTAAGTAATCATCTCCATGGATTTCCTTTCATCCATATGCCCCTTCGAGTGGTGTGGGTGAGTAGATATCCCGAATTTCCCAATTGTATTTGGGCTAATGTAGAAGGGAAGAATTCTCCTAGCCATCACTGTCCAATAATATTACAATCCAATTTTACATTGGCAACCCTTGTACTTAGGGTTCGTTCGTTCGTTTTTTTTTTCTTTTTGCATATGAATGCACATGTTGAGATATTTTTCATTAATGTGTACCCTTTCTTTCAATGTGTGAGAGTTGTGGACCATATGCTTCCTCTCTCGCTCTGGCTCTCTCTGATTTAATATTGCATTGGACGCCGCTGTCATGAACGCAAGTAAAGCACAACAACAAATACAGGTGGAGCAGCAGCAACTTAGATTAAGGGGGATGTGTGATGATGGATTAACGGATAACATGATTATGATGTTGATATTTTGGAAGAAATTATTCTAATGACATTAGAATTGAGTTTGACAATAATGCAAATGACATTTGTTTAGGGTAATAGGAAATGATGACCAAACAAACATGACACTACTTTAATCGGTTTGTTTGCGGAGTAATTCACTCGTTTACGTGTATGGGGGGTAATTCCTCTCTCTCTCTCTCTCTCGCTCCCTCGTTTCTAATTATAATTAGCATGTTAATAAGCATTGCAATTCATTTCGTAGAGTAAAGCTAATGTTGTTGTTTTTTTTACTATTTTTTTGTTGAAATCAACTATTATTTGAACAAGTGGGTCATATTGTTTTTTCTTTTTCATTTTTTGTATGAAGGTAATCAAAATTGTATGGGGAAGATTTAACATTTATTGGGGTGGATCGTCATTGTTTTTTTGAATTAAAAAATTGTTTGTGAACTTTTTTTAATGACTTTAATTCTTTGAATTAGGTACTGAGTGTGCGTTTAATTTTCGTTACACCCTAATAACATTGCATTAAAATCACCACCAAAGCGTTGCCGACAAATCAACCAAAAGCAACATCTGTTGCTCTTTTTTATCTGAAAAGTTAACAAGTGTATGCTAAACTATTTCCTACAAAGGCAATGGTTCTACAAAATAACAAAATATGGAATAATAATATTTGTTTGTTATCAGTTAGTTTTAAAAACTATTCACATTAACAAAATTAGTAACAAACTTGCAAAATATATATTAACGTCTGTTACAATCCAATAAACTTAGTAGTAGTATAGTCGAATGGAGCTGACAATATTATACCCTAAATACCCTGATACATAACCTGCAAGAATCACAAATTTTTTACTACGATAATTGGTATAAAACTGTAAATTCTTGCTGGTCGGGAGGGGACTCGACTAGCTGAATCGACCTAGCTGTGTGTGGCACTGAGTCCAATAGTTTTTTAATATGTTCGATGAAATGGACCAACAACATTATTTTTATCTGTTATCTGTTTTTTGGTCGATCTAGAGGCCCAATTATCTGTCAGAATCTTTGTAGAGATCGCAATATTTAAGATAGAGCTTTGAAATGGCTCAAATGGCTCAAAATATTAGCCATTTTAGATATTTTTGCCGGATATTTAACACACCCACCAAATGGCTGTAATTTGGAAATCCGGGTTTATAGATGGTAAAAACATCTATGTATAAAATGATCAATATAGGTCCATGTTTTGACGTATAGCCTCCATATAAAGGTACCGCACCGTTTGGGGTATTTTGATTTTTTTTTTTAATTTGTTCAATTTTTTTAAATAGACTCCCTCCCCCTTTCCGGTATAATGGATGGTGATACATAAAACATTTTAAAGATTTTTTTTTAACTTTGGATATAGCCCCCCTATAAAAAGTCACACATGTGTTATGTTTTGTGAAAATCGGTTTAGATTTAGATACAGCTCCCATACATGGATGTATCCTGAACGAAATAGGTATGACATTGGACCAACGCGGAAAACTTAGTAACTATAACCAGTCCTGAGATTTGAAGATATAGATGTCGTTATCCCTAGTAGAGACGACTGGAACCGTAGTAACCCTCCTCTGGACGGTCTGGCTTTCTATACAGACGGATCCAAGATGGAAGCAGGTACAGGTGCTGGCGTCTACTGTGAAAAGCTATGTCTTGAGCTTACCTACAAGCTATATAGCAACTGTAGTGTTTTCCAAGCTGAAATCTTCGCTATTTGGAAAATAGCGGATAACGGATCAAATCCTGTAATATCAAATCTGATGTCATCCTCGAGTGTAGCAGTCGTTTTGGAAACACTCACAGCTAAAGTTATCGGCTGTGTTGGGTAACGAAAAATGTAGATGTAGCAATCGATTGCTCAATCAAGCCACCTATCTGTCATCTCTTTCGGAACATTGATGAGTTCTTCGACGAACAAGCCAACAACAAACCCGGGTGCAATGTGCCAAGAGGACAAAATCACTGTTGAACCTGAGCTATGCTGAAATTAATGACAGTAAATGGGACCATGATGTTACTGATTACTGCAGACTTTGTGCTGCTGACGAGCAGGAGACAGAGATAATTGAGCACCTCGTGTTCTGGCCTACAGACGGCCCAAACTAGCAGGTGCTCACCGTTCCACCGTCTCTAAGCTTCTTCTCAACTATGGAACCTGCTTTAATCTACAACAACATTAGAAACCTAAAGGGGTTAGGAAAGAGCAACCATAGCACGTCCAATTTCTTTAGCCATCGAAACTATTCTCACCCACCTCCTAATAATAATAGCTTCTTTTCTTTCCTTCCACCAACATCAAAATGTATGATGCGTGCAGGATGAAGGATGTTTCGAGAAACAGTAACCTTTGCTCCATAGCTTTTAACAGGAATGTGGGTTAATCGATCTGTCGTCTGTTTGTCAATGAATGGGAGTTGAGAAACCGATTCCCCAGCTTAAATTAAGCTTTTTCCATAGACTTGATAAAAAAATGACCAGTAAAGGAGAACAAATAAAGAACAGATTTAGGGATTTGAATTATAATTAAATAATATATATATATATATATATATATATAGCATTATATCATTGTAGTATGGACGTACACAAATATAAATAACTTCCCATTTTAATTAAAAAAAAGTTATTAATATAGAAATTTAAAAAAATGTGTTTAATTTTTTATACCCAACCAATAGCTAATTTTTCTATACTAATTAAAAAGATCAACAAAATATACCATTAACATTAATTCGTTATCCTTTTTTCTCTTTCTCCATTTTTTCTCTTCTCTTACACGTTTTTTGCAGATTTATTTTGAATATTTATTTTATTTTTGTTGTGTATTTGAGAAAAACAAACGATGTTTTCCATGCGGCAAAGAAATGACAGCAAATAAAAAATGGGCGTTTATAACGCCCATTTATATATAAAGAAAAAGAGAAAGCAATTTAAATGCGAATTCGAATTCGAATATTAAACAACAATTACAAACAGCGGAAATCCATCCGACAAAAGAATTCAAATTGAAAAGACGAGTTATTTTAGAAAAAAAGTCACAAACAAACAGAAAAGGAGAGGATCATCAGCAGCAGAATTTTGTTTCCATACGAAAAATCGGGCTTTATTTCTAGTTAAGAGTGCAGCATTGTTTTGCACTTTGTTGTGGTGGTGGTGTAAGAACCCAGTGTTTGTGGAATTTTTAAATTACACAGCCTAAACAATACAAAATACAAAAATAAAGTGGTGTAAAAATGACAATTATCCTATTTTTGGTCGACACCTCGTCGTCCATGTGCCAAAAAGCCTATGTGAATGGCGTACAAAAAACCTATCTGGACATAGCCAAGGGTGCCGTGGAAACTTTTCTCAAATACCGTCAACGCACACAAGACTGTCTGGGCGATCGTTATATGCTGCTGACATTCGAAGAACCGCCCGCCAATGTTAAGGCCGGCTGGAAGGAGAATCATGCCACGTTTATGAATGAATTGAAAAATCTCCAATCAACGGGCCTCACTTCAATGGGCGAGTCGCTGAAAAATGCTTTCGATTTGCTAAATCTCAATCGTATGCAATCTGGTATTGATACATACGGGCAGGGTCGATGCCCATTCTATTTGGAACCTTCCGTAATTATTGTGATCACCGACGGTGGCCGTTACTCGAATCGTAATGTTGTACACCAGGATATTATACTGCCGCTGAATACCCAAATACCGGGTACCAAATTCACCAAGGAACCTTTTCGATGGGATCAGCGTCTGTTTTCGCTGGTACTGCGTATGTCGGGCAATCGTGTCGATGAGAGGGTTGAAGGCAAGGTGCCGCACGATGATTCACCCATCGAGCGGATGTGTGAGGTGACCGGCGGACGTTCATATCGCGTGCGTTCCCACTACGTTTTAAATCAATGCATCGAAAGTTTGGTACAAAAGGTTCAACCGGGCGTGGTGTTGCAGTTCGAACCTCTCATACCCAAAGATCCCAATAATATGCCCAATGAGGCACTGCAGGATTTGATATTCCAACCGCTGAAGAAAATGATCTATGTCCAGAAACACATTAGTCAGAAGACATTTCCAATTGGCTACTGGCCTCTGCCCGAACCGTATTGGCCTGATCCGAAGGCGCCAACGTTACCACCACGTGATGCCCACCCTAAGTTGAAGGTAGTGACTCCGGCCGTGGACGAGCCGCAGACTGTACACAATTTCCCCGTGGATAAATATGAAATTGAAGCTAGTCCCCTTACCCTGCAGATTTTACAGAAACGCGAAATGAAAAAATGTTGGCAGGTTATCATTTCGAATGGCATGCATGGTTTTGAGTTGCCTTTCGGTTATCTGAAGGCATCTTCAACATCGTCACAAGTCCACCTCTATGTATTGGCCTACAATTATCCGGCCCTGTTGCCTTTGTTACACGATCTGATACACAAATACAATATGAGTCCACCCAATGACTTGATGTACAAATTCAATGCCTATGTGCGATCCATTCCTCCCTATTATTGTCCATTTTTACGCAAAGCTCTGCTCAACATTTCCGTACCGTATCCCCTGTTGCAGTTTTTGCTGCCGGACAATGTAGACAATTATTTATCGCCGAACATTGCCAATCAATTGAAGCACATCAAGAACACGGCGAAGCAGGATCAAGAAAACCTCTGCATGAAGGTCTACAAGCAGTTGAAACAGCCCAAACCGCCCTACCGGCAGGTGGAGACGGCGAAACTGAATACTGGTGTGGCGCTGCGTAGAGATTTGGTTAGGCATCCCTTGCTGCGTGATACCTTTGCTAAATTGCATTCAGAAATTGAACCCTTGGAGAACTACACAGTTGTGGTGCCTCAGCTGACAAGGCAACAATCGGCCAAGTCCTATCGCAACCCCTTCGATATTCCACGACGTGATATTATCGAAGAAATCGGACGTATGCGTGAGGCATTTATGCGGCCCCAGCCGGTTAGTTTGGTGGCAAAGGATTCGGGACATTGTCTACCCATTGCCGAAATGGGTAATTACCAGGAGTATTTGAAGAACAAGGATAACCCGCTGCGTGAAATAGAACCCACGAATGTGAGGCAGCACATGTTCGGCAATCCCTACAAAAAGGACAAACACATGGTTATGGTTGATGAAGCCGATTTGGGTGATGTGGCAGCGCCCATGAAGGGCAATGGTGCAGGTACTTCTGGCGTTCCGGGTGTCGGTGGAGTGGGCGGGGCTCCCGGCAAGAAACTGGACGCTTCAAGGGTGCGTAAACGTAAGGCTGGTCCCATACGCATGGATTATGTATTTCGACGTACATCAACCGACTCTCGCCCACGCACACCCACGCCATCCTGTTCTGGCGTCTCTCCCAATTCCTCCCCAATCGCTAGCTCCGGCATGTCCTCAAATGCGTCATCAGTATCTTCCCTATCCGATTTGGAATCAATGGATTCGGATTCCGACGCCTCGTCAATATCATCCGGCATGTCCGAAGATGGTGATCCTGATCGATTGGTGGTGGCCTTCCCCGACTTTCCCGAAGAAGAAGCCACCGAACCGGAATTCTGTAATGTTTATGTGCGGGATTTCATAAACGGGGTTGGGGTTGAAAATAGCTGTGATAATTCTCAAAATAATGATCTTATAAACCCTGCGGGTTCCTCCCAACTGAATGCCGGTTCAATATCACCGCAAATGGTAAATGGGCAGCTGGGTGGTGGTATGCCACCCAATATGAGTCCACATCCCTCGATGACAGCACAACCGCCGCTAAATCATCCGACTCAACCCCAATCTCCTGCCTCGTCCCCACATCCGTATATGCCCAATTATGCAGCGCCATTGGGACCACATGAACCCAGTACTCCACCACCGCCAACACCGACATTGCTGCTGCATCATAATCCTAATGCAATGCCACTGAATGGCAATATTTATGGGATACCCAATAATATTGGCGGTGGAATGTCGCCGGCCGCCGCCGCAACGAATGGTGGTGGCCTGATGGCTTCAGCTAGTCCCACAGTTAGTCCCTATTCTTCAACATTACCACCACATGCAATGCCTGGCCAGGTGACAACAATGCAGCCACAAGTACCACAAATAATACCAGGGAACAACAGCATACCGTCTCTGCAACCTGTTACAGCAGCTTCAGCCGCTGCGGCTGGTGGTGGTGGTCATCATTTACATGATATCAATGATGCACAGGAGATATCCAGAATACTGCAACAATGTCATAATGGTAATTCCACATCCTCTTTGCCGGTAACATCTTCATCGGCGTCAACTTCCTCTCTCGGAGGTGTTACTGCAACTTCCGATACCAACCCGCCACCTGCTGATAGTTCAAAAATAGACAATGAAACGGCCCTGATGCCACCACCGGCATCATCGACCCCACTAAGTACCCTGCTGGCTAGCAGTAATTTTGATACATTAAAAAGGGAAGGCACAAATGGCAGTTCGTCCTCCTCGGCAGTCAATTCGCATACATTCTCAAATCATGTTAATCATATGGCGGCCTCGCCACTAACACCCCCGCCCCTTACCGATGAACAAAAAGAACAAGCCCGCAAACATAATATGGATTTACGGGATCAAGTATTCCGTGATATTCGACGGCCAGGACGAAATTATTCCCAACTACTGGAGCATTTGAATTTAATCAAGGGCGACGAAGATATGAAATCGAAATTCATACAAATGTGCATTAGCGAATCGTTACGGTTTCGACGCAAACAAATGGTCAACAGCATACAGGAATGGTGGGATAAGAAACAACAGTTGCCAGCGACAAGTTAACAATTATTGTAATATACTCCATAGCCATAGACACACACACATAGACTATTAAGTGGTTGGAGGGAGGGTGGGTGGTCGTGTGATCATGCATGAGGGGAACGATCATGATGGAAGACGGCGGGTGTTGATGATGATCTTTAAGATAACGGATGGCAATGGTGGGCTACTCTTTATTGGGGGGAGGAAAAACGATGGACAAAAAGACTCGTGTTATATACAGCATCTATATATCAAATGTGTGGAATCAAAACAACAAACCATATTAAAATGTTTACTTATATACATATTTACAATACCATCATCTATATTGATTTCTTTGTCTATGGTAACAAAAGGTTTGAAAACCGCAAGTTTTGGGACCCCAAAAAACAAGATTTTGTAAAATATTTTTCCGTTTTTATTTTTTATCCTATAAAAATGGATCAGCATAGCAGAAAGTTAGAATTGTTATTATTACTATTATCGAGAACAATTATCTTCTTTTTCTTGGTAGGAAATTTTTGAATTGAAAGCAAACAAAAAAATCTTTATTTGTTATTGGTTACCTCTTATTATTACTATTTTTATTATTATATATCATGCACCTCTCTGGCCTCTCTTTCAGCAAATTGTATTTTATTTCATTGTACTCTAAACGCTTAATAATGATAATATTGTGAATCTATCTTACATACATACATACATATACAATATACAGACACACAAACAAACAATTTTCAATTTAAGTAAAATAAAATGTAATTTTTAAGAAGAAGATGAAGCATTTTTTGTTGCAACTTTGCTTTAAATTGTAAATCGTTTTTTATTCTCCTTGCGTTTGTTTAGGTAGTATTCAGCAGGGATGTAATGGAGAGTGTTAGCTAAATTTATATCTATGAAACGAATTTAATTTATATTCTGCTCTGCTCCCCTCTTAATCTTTAATTCAAATTAGATTTTTAAAATTACTTTATATTAATAATTATTTCAAATAAATATTAATATTTAAGATTAGTTCCAATAATTCAGTAATTTATTTCTCAAAGCAAAATTTCCTTTTTGGTAGTCATGAAAATTACATGCCATTCTGGGTGGAATGACTAAAAGTCAAGTGTCAGTGGTGTAATACATTTATATTTTATAAAAAATATTCTAAATTTGTACAATCCCATAAATATTCAAAATTTCACCATATATACAAATAATATAACCGTCAAGTATTCAAAATTTTACACTAGAAATTTTAAGATGAGGAAGAGAAAATATAAAGAATAATATGGGAATATTTCTTAAAAATATCCCTGCTACATTTTTGGGTTCCAGTGATACAAAAAATAAAATACCTGGTTTTCCGTGAAATTTTATAAAACAAAATAATCCTTAGTTCCTCTGAATTTTTATATAAAAAACGTGAGGTCAGGGAATGTATTATAAAACTGTCACGCTTTTGGTGAACTTTTTAACATAAGGGACAAGTAGAATTTTTCGATAGAAACTTCAAACCCCCGCCATATCGGCAGGTGGACACGGCGGAACTGATTACCGCGGGTGTACTCCATCTAAGAGATTTGGTTAGACATTCACTGTTATCTTTGTTAACTTGCATTCAGAAATTGAACCTTTGGAGAACTACAGCACAGCTGTGGTGACTCAGCTGGCAAGGCAGCAATCGGCCAAGTCCTAATGATATTCAAGGGTTCCACTAAAATTTATTTCTATAGAAAAAAATCATAAATGGAAATCTGTGATTTCTACCATATATTCACAACAGTTCCTGGGTCGTGTCCCTGGTGTGTGGAATGCGTATTTGTCATCGAAATATTCACTAGAGATCCACCCACCCTATGTATTCTTGATCTGAATAAAATCCTTGTTGTTTTGTAGGCATGTAGGCATCACAGTTTCCAATATTTACGGTTGGTTTGCAAGCCTCCGTATAAAAAATTATCGATATGGGTCCACTTTGATGATACCCGCCATATAACAATACCCAATATTATTCGGTATTTTGGGGAGTTTGGGCACATTTTTCAACCGAATACAATGTTAGATGATGTTTTGTGTTACCATTGAGTAGCAATCTCTCCCCATTGAGTAGCAATCTCTCCCCAAATATTTTGATTTTGGGAATTTATTGTCCTGTTTTTAAAACAAATCGGCTATTATTTGGTATTTTAAATTATCATTGCATAGCAAATATCCATACCAAAAATTATCGTTATCGGTCCACTTTTCTGGATAACCCCCATGCCCATTATTATTCGGTATTTTGGGGAGTTTGGGCACACTTTTCAACCGAAATGAATTATTGTTGATACATTGAGTTACTATTGGGTATAAAATCTCCTCACCAAAAATAATCGATACGGTCCACTTTTGAGGATCGCCCCAAAGTATAGCCCCATATATTCGGTATTTTTTAACCGAATTGACTCTAATTTCTTTCTCCTAAAATTATCTTTCTACCAAAAATTATGTGTTTTAAATTTCGTGAAAATCGGTTCAGATTTAGATATAGCTCCCATATACAGATTCGCCCGATTTTAAGTAAATGGTGCACCAAAGTCCCTGAAAATATTTTGATTTGTACGAATTTTGGCATGGCGTACTGAATTGAGCCTAGAATGATGTGTGCAAAGTTTTGTGAAACTCGGTTCAGATTTAGATATAGCTCCCATATATAGTTTCGTCCGATATTATGTTAATGGAGTACTACATTTCTTTCGATTTGCACAAAATTTGGCATAGCCTACTGAATTGTGTCTAGAATGATGTGTCTTAAGTTTCGTGAAAATCGGTTCAAATTTAGATATAGCTTCCATATATATTTTCGTCCGATTTTATTTAATGGTGTACCAAAGTCCCTATATATCTTTCGCTTGGCACAAAATTTGGCATAGCCTACTGAATTGATCACAGAATGATGTGGGCTGTTTCGTGAAAATCAGTTCCGATGTGGGCTAAGCTTTGTGAAAATCAGATATAGCTCCAATATATATTTTCGTCCGAATTGATGTTAATGGAGCACTAATGCCTCTACATTTTTTTCGATTTGCACAAAATTTGACATAACCTACTGAATTAAGAACAATGTGTGCTAAGTTTTGTGAAAATCGGTTCAGATTTAGATATGGCTCCCATATATTTATTTCTATTTCATGTCAATGTTCCCTCGAAGGAATTGTAAGGATGCATATGTAAAATATACCCAAAGTGGTGAAGGGTATCATATAGTCGGCCCAATCCGACTTTACGACTTTTCTTACTGGTTTTCTCTTAGTTTTGAGACATGTTTACCAAAAGTTGGTCGGAAGTTTCCTTGTGACCTTTAGTAGGTCACAATGATAATCAAATTGCGTCCTTCTTAAAGGAATCTTTTTTAATATGATGTTCTAAGTCAAATAAATGTTTGTTGTAAAATATCGAATTATTATTTTTTAATAGAGAAAAGAGACTATAGATTATTTTTTTTTAACTGAAAATGTCCCTTGCTTGTGTATATTTTTTAAACCAAAACAAATTCATTTCATTTCTCATATTTAAACTTGTTAAATCTTATTTTATGTTTATAAAACATCTTCTTAATCTAAATGAATAGAGTGGTATAATCAATCAGTCATTCAAATTCAAATATATGTATGTATTAATTGTGAAAAAAGACTCAAATCAAATTAAAATATTTTTTCACTTTAAATTAATTGTGATGAAGTGTGGGCTTTTAGCCTATTTTCTGTTTTCTTAGTATTAAAAAAATATATGAAATAATGTTTATAAGACAAAACAAAACAATTTAGAATTTATAGATTATTAAATACAATTCTTAAAATTAATTTTAAATTGTATTATGTAAAAATATTGTATAACATATTATTATAAAAACTTTTTGCTAATTTAGTAAATCGAATTTAAAAAAAAACATATTAAAGAAATATTGCAAAACAAAAAAGAAAGAAGAAAAAAATATTTGTTACATGAAAGAAAAAAAAACGAATAATTTGTTATTAATTTGTTTTTAAAACATATTAGAAATTAAAAAAGTCCTTTGGTAAGACAATGAGGAGGATATCCAGTGCCCTCATGGACTTAAAGGGTCAAATGTATGATGTTATATTCTTTTGTTTTTATTACAGCGTGAAATGAATGTATAGTAATCACGAAGGTAATGTATGTTATTTTTTGTCATTCTAATATTCAAAATTTGAATATGCATTGGAGTTATTTTTGGTTTTTTTTATTACATAGGTATCTTTGTTTACATTACAATTTGGTATATTCTCATTAATGCCTAAAAGTATGCTATATTTTTAAATAGTTGGAATATGTTGTTCAGATATTTTGGATATGTGTATGAACTGCATTGATAACACTGCGCGGCAACTTACTTAGCTGGCTTGTGACAGAACTTTCGTTCCATAAGCCGAGCTTAAAAAAAGATTTCCAGGCACGTCGGTCTTTTGCGCAGATTTTCCAATTTGAAAGACCATGTTTGGCAATGTTGTCTTCCACTTGATATTTCCATCTGTTTCGTGGCCTTCCCCTTCTGCGTGAGCCATCAGCTAATACGCGGAAGTTGGCCTTAGTAGCATCTGTTGGCCAACACTATCCTTCTCCGAATTTCAAAACTTATGTCATTATTTTTATTTATGTACCAGGGTACCAAGTTATATAACATCTTTGACTACCTCCAAGCTGTAGTTCTCAAGTTCCACAGTTGGTCCGAGTCTACTGCACGTCTTGCGTGTTGATACCATCAGCTTGGTTTACTGTCAGACCCACTTTGGCAGACTACCTCTCAATTTGTTTAAAGGTTGATGTTACCGCACTCAATGTTCGACCCATTATGTCGATGTTATCGGCGTGGGCAAGTTACATGTGTTGTTTGGTGTACAGAGTGTCATTTGTCATCTGTTCCCTTTGCCATCGTATGACCTTTTTCAGCAGGATGTTAAAGAAGTCACAGGACAAACTGTCACCTTGTCTGAATCCTCGTTCGCTATGAAAGGGCTCCGAGAGGTCCTTTCCAA